GCCTGGGCGTCCGTCAGTCGTATAACCAACCGCAAAGTCTGATTTCTCTTGGCCACAAGTACGGCTGCTTCTCTGAGTATTTCCAACTCTATGGGATGGGAAGAAACAACGGATATGCAATTGACTATTTGGAGGTTTCCCAGGCGCTGAAAAGCATTCCACAAGCATTCTGTAGGGTCCAAGAACCTGACAGGGGGCAAATATTCGGTGCCATTTGAACCGCTTCTCTGCTCTTCTGGCGATGAAAACTCGGCGCCTCCTGCTGCATGGGTGCAGCTGTTGCCTTGCAAAGAATATTGTGGAAGCGGCGGCCCAACTGCACAACCCCCTTGGGAGGCTCGAGCGCTACAGTGACCTGCGGCTGCCCCATGTGGACCTGCGGCACAGCAGNACAACCCCCTTGGGAGGCTCGAGCGCTACAGTGACCTGCGGCTGCCCCATGTGGACCTGCGGCACAGCAGCGCGCAAGAAAACGAATACGCGCAGTTGGCTTGACGTGAGACACACACCATCCGCTTCTGCGTATCAGCTGCTGAGACAGCGAGAAGGGAAGACAGCGTTCAGAAGGAGGAATATGGCAGACCGACCTTCAGATGTAAACAGTTGGTACGGGGGATGCGCCATCCTTGTTACTTCTGCGTCCGCATCATACATGAATATTACGTCTGCTTCGCCTTATGTTACAGGCGCCCGGATTAATATCTACTGGAAATTTTATAGCTAAACCACTCTACCAATGTTAATGGGCGCTACGCTGTTGTGCGGACCTTTGGACCGTTCAATGTGGGGTAGCTGAGGTCACCTGTGAGTGACCCTAGCTAATTTGTCCTGCCCTCACCGTAAAAATTGAATTAATTATGTGTACAAGAGAAATGTCACTTCTGTGGACATACACCTGAGACACAATGGTTGCCCTTTTCCGCCGCCGCTGTTGCCTGTTGCCTTGGATTAGGCAAGCGACGGCGGTGGTCGGCCCCCCTCTCGCTGAAAAAGAAGGGGGGGAATATGCGTGTTAATCAGAGCAACAGAAAAAAGAAGCACAAAACGTGCTTCTTATTTCATCTTTACGCCACCCATCGGTGCACACACAAATGAACAACCCGCTTGTACCTGCCGAGGTTGCCGGCCCGCGTGAGGCGAAATAGCCTCGTGGGCTGCCTAAGTCATGGAATCCACGATAGCAGTCAGCAAACAGGAAAAAAAAGTTTAACACAGATTCCAAAACCTCAAAAATCAAGGAATTAAGCGGAGAAAAGACTCGCCAATAGGCGACCAAANTAACACAGATTCCAAAACCTCAAAAATCAAGGAATTAAGCGGAGAAAAGACTCGCCAATAGGCGACCAAACCCAATGCCTCCCCTGATGATGTTCAACGACGACGCCTGACTTCGGACCACTGCATACAACCAAGCCCCACTACACAATCCAGCCACTGCAACGGCACGTTGCTTTGTCAGTAAAATAAAGCATTTGAGGGAATATTTCAATGATTTGCGCAGTATACCAGGCAGTCCCGTTCCGCATAATGACCACCACGTGGCGGTCATTACTGCGTAGCTGGCACATCTCCAGCAAGCAGATGCTCGTCGAGCAATTACTTGAAGCTCCCTAGGCTGGTGGCTGTACATCTCCGAGGTATGAACATATTATTTTCTGGTTACCTTGGTGCTAGAGTGAGCTTAGCATCATGTGTTTGCCCCTCGCTTTTCCGCCTAAAATTGCGCAGCGGTCCACGGTACATGCCGACGTTCTTAGCACCACCGAACATAGAAGTGATGGGACTAAGTGGCTTGAATAACAGATTCGCAGAATAAAGGGCACTCCAGATAACTGTGAAGAATCGCAGCCCCTTGTCTATACTCCCTCAACCTTTGTGACCGACGCAGACACAAACGAGAACTGCGCGAAGTGCATAGGTGTGTCTAACACAGTCACTCAAGTGGACAGCTCGTTATCCATCTGGTTCAGAGTCAAGCGCTTCGAAGGAAATGAATATGGCCATCAAGTCGACTGATGGACATAAAAACAACAATGAAGATAATAGGGACTGCGCCCGTATGCACGCAAGGAATACCCCAAAACCGCCTTCTCAGGAGCAAAAGGCGAATGCGACAGTGTTCACTATTGGATACTCTGATCGATGTGCGTCGAAACAAGTATATCATCGGGTCTGCGGCAATTCCAAAATGCACAGACACCTGCACTGGCGATGGAAAAAAACTTGCTTTTAATAAAAATTTGTCTTGTCCTTTACCGCAAAAAATACATTTCAGTATTCTAAGTATAAAAAATTTATTACTGTGTTAGCTGTCGTGGAGAAGCTGGTGAATCGGATTGAAGAACTTGCGGCCGAGATGTTGCCTTCTGGGCATCGCAGTTACAAGAAGAGCAAGCGGTTCAAGTTTGATGAGCCCTTCAGCATCGTCGAGCCAGTTAATAAATCATAACAAGCGATAGTTCTTAATACTATGCATAATATATGTATCCAGCGGTTGCACTCAATGTTGCCCTTATGTTACCCACAAACGTGATCGTTCCCGTGCTGCAGCCACGCAGCAAGCAAGCCGGCTGCTATATCGGCACTTTCTCTCTCCTCTCCAGCGCGCGTTGCATGTATGGGAGTCCATCAGTACTCCCCAATCTTAGAGAAACATGCGTAAACAGCAGCTGAATAGGCGAGACTACCGGTGTGTCAGACTCTAAAAAATAGGAACAGGTATTCAGTCTTATGGTGCTCTAGCTGCTCGTCGCTCCAAAGATAGGAAGCAGAGGTGTATAGCAACACAAATACGAAACATCGGACTAACCGGACAGGAGTAATAGCCTTAGAAGTGAGGGCTGAAAATGATGGCAAACTGGAGGCGAACGGCCACAGCAGCAAGGTTGTAGAGTATCCCGTATGATATGTATACACATGCAGGTATTTACAAATATATCTTGAAAAAGGAGGGAAAACGAAGCGAAGTTGGAGGCAAACGGTGACAGCAACTAGATCGGAGCGCCATCACTCTGCACTTTGTATATATTCATGCACTACAGGAATATCTCGGACACTTTCGATTCATATCGCATCCCTACCGTTGTACACTTTTTCGTTTCCAAGATGGTTTGAGAACGAATTCAATATATCTCAGCTTCTGGAAAAGCAGCGAGCACCAGCTATCTGGCAGTGGGTGGACGGTATTAGTGTTTAGAGTTCGTTTTCCGAGCGTCGCGCAACGCGCATTGATCCCTGTAAAGGTAAATGTTGAGGTTTTGTTCATTCCACTGTGGAATTTGGTTGAATTTGTAGAATGGCTGATTACACAGAATTTTACCAGAGTCCAATGCTCAACAAAGGCCGCATTCAGTATAATTTTCGCGGAATCCCGCAAGCAAGACTTGTGCAAGAAACGGAGCAAAGTGCAAAAGAGAAACAGAGAAAAGCAAGCAGAAGTGCACTCCGTAACCATATAGCTGCAAGGGCATGCCTTGTCTCTTTAAACAGAGAAGCAACAGCAGCAGCAATAGCATGCCCGTTGCTAAAGAACCCTACACAAGGTGTGTGGTCACACACCACAAGCTGGAACATATTATGTAGTTAATGAATAGCCAGACATAAAAGGAAACATTTACCCCCAAATTTCGGTTTATAAATATGTGTCACACAGACATGAAAGCAATAAACACGCAAAACAAGCAAGACACGATACAAGGACACAATACAAGTTAATGAGGTCTCGACGAGCAAGCACTGGCCAGGAGCATAGTTATTTATTCGTGTAAATGACTATTAAAGAT